ATAAAGAATTACTTACTTAATTTTATTTATCTTTTTTAATTTGACCAGAGAGAGAGAAAGGGAGAAAGCAAACCGCCTGCTCTAGGACCTGAACCATGGCCAGCCATGTGGGAGTCCAGCACCTTAACCACCACGCCACCTGCTGGCCCCAAAATGGCATCTTAAAAAATAAATTAATTAATTAATTAAAAAAAAATTTACAAAAGACATCTTTAGCAAATGGAAACCAGAGTCGCACGCCTGACTAGAAGATAACCTAACAATCTATACAATGAGAATAAGGAAATGGCAGGACCAGCAGATGGCGGAATGGCTGCATTGCTGGACTCCCACACTGTCAACTGCAGTTTGAGTCCTGGACCCGATGACTTAAAGCTCAAGCAGGCGTGCGTGTGCCCCAAATCCCCAGAGGAGAATGGAGAAGGGACTGTGGGATGGCCATCACCCCGGGGGGTAATTTCTTGCTTTCTGTCTCTTAGGTGAGCGTTTGCACCCTATAGGAAAAATCTCTCAAAAAAAAAGAAAAGAAAAAGAAAAAGAAAGAAAGAAAAAGAAAAGAAAGAAATGCCATTGCGCCCTGAAGTCTTAGTACACTGTGGGTCAAGGCGGCCCGGAGCTTCTCGATCCTCTCGGTCCCTTCCAGGCCTGGTTCTCCCTGTGCTGAGAACTGGTGTGTGAGGTACCTGTACCAAATGGAGGCTTTCTCCTCCTTGACGTGGCAGAAGCAAGAGGGGCCCACAGTCAGCTGCAGGGCTCTTGTGTGGAGTCGGGGAAGGTGTCCCACGCTCGGGCACAGTGATCTGACCTTCACGGTCCCTGGCCCAGATCCCTCCCCCCCACCTGCTCGTTCACCATGGGGGTCCTCGTCGGATGCTTTCTCTCTTCCAGGCCACCGTGGCTGCGTTCACAGCCAGTGAGGGCCACGCACACCCCAGGGTGGTGGAGCTGCCCAAGACAGACGAGGGTCTGGGCTTCAACATCATGGGCGGCAAGGAGCAGAACTCGCCTATCTACATCTCCCGCGTCATCCCAGGAGGCGTGGCTGACCGCCACGGAGGCCTCAAGCGTGGGGACCAACTGCTGTCGGTGAATGGTGTGGTGAGTAGGCGCTGAGGCCAAGGGAGTAGAGTCCTGGAGAGGGAGGTCCCCCTAACAAGGCCCTCCTGCCCCGGCCCGCTCCGTCTAGAGCATGGTACAGGCATGCCCAGCCTGATGGGGAAGGTCTCTGGGCATGAACCCAGGGCCTCTCCCTGTGGGCTCAGTGCCACCGCCTAGCCCCAGCCTCTGCTTTGGACATTCATTCAACACACGCTGAGCAGCGCTCTGTGGTGGCTGGGCGCCAGACGACACTGCAGACCCTGGAAGGTGGGTCTCAGCTCCTTCACTCCAGGGCTCGCTCTGGCAAGGGCAATAGGCCCTGATTAAAATAGTCCTAACCCTGAGACTGAGGAGGTGGAGGGCACTGGGAGTCCAGGTGTGGCGCGCCGGGCCAGTGTTGATGAGCAGAGACTGCGGAGAAAGGCGCGGTTACGCTGGATGTTGAAGGATGAGTTCTTAGGCCAGCAAGAGCTCGGGTGTTCCTGGTGGGGGTGTCCTAGGTCAGGGCCCTGCCTCTGTACTCCGCTGAGCCAGAGAGAAAGGCTCGGTTCTGATGGACGTGTGGGGCTGCGGGTCGTGAAAGTCACTGTGGTCAGAGCAGATGGAAGCAGAACTAGAGGTGACCTGGCGGCCATGCAGGGCCTGAGGAAGCCGTGGAGGGATGTGCTCAGCTCAGAGGTGTAGACAGATCCTCTGGAACTCTATGGGATGGGCTGAGGGGAGGCCAGGGAGGAGGCTGGGATTAGGGTATAGAGGGGAGAGGGCAAGGCTCAAACGGACCAGAGCTGGGACCAGCAGTTAACGTAATGGCTATGTCACTGGACTCCCATATAGTCACTGTGGTTCGAGTCCCGGACCTGGCGAATTAAACTCACGCTGGGCGCATGTGCATGCATGCCCAAGATCCTGAGAGGAGAATGGAGGAGAAGGCTTTGCCATGTGGCCATCTCCCCGGGGGGTGATTTCTCGCTATCTCCCTGTCTCTCTCTGTCTTTCTGGTGAGCGCACGTGCCCTGTAGCAAAAACCTCTCCAAAAAGAAGAAAAAAATGGACCAGAGCTGTGGGGACAAAGAGCAGGGAGTCAGGGTGAGAGTCAGGGCTATGGGGAAGAGACGAGAACGGTGGGCCTGGACATCCAGCTCAGTGACTGAGGGGCCGAGGGCCCTTCCCAGACATGGCAAACCTGGAAGGTTCTGGAGCGCAGAGCCAGGAGTTCGTGACCCACTGCTGCAGAGGACAGGAGGCCTTGGCCCAGACATGGGGAACATGGAAGTTTCTGGAGCATAGAGTCAGGAGTTCGTGACCCACTGCTGCAGAGGACAGGAGGCCTCGGCACTAAGGTCATGAGCAGTTGGCCCCTCTTACCCCGGCCCGGCGTGGGCAGAGGGCCCGGCCCCAGCCGGCTGCATTGGGCCCTGCAGAGCGTGGAGGGCGAGCAGCACGAGAAGGCGGTGGAGCTGCTGAAGGCTGCCCAGGGCTCCGTGAAGCTGGTGGTGCGCTACACCCCGCGGGTGCTGGAGGAGATGGAGGCCCGGTTTGAGAAGATGCGCTCGGCCCGGCGGCGCCAGCAGCACCAGAGCTACTCGTGAGCCCCCTGCCGCCTGGCCCCGGACCTCCACTGCCCACCCTGAAGCCCAGACTCCCGAACCAGGCCAATAATGGAGGAGAAGGCTTTGCTATGTGGCCATCTCCCCGGGGGGTGATTTCTCGCTATCTCCCTGTCTCTCTCTGTCTTTCTGGTGAGCGCACGTGCCCTGTAGCAAAAACCTCTCCAAAAAGAAGAAAAAAATGGACCAGAGCTGTGGGGACAAAGAGCAGGGAGTCAGGGTGAGAGTCAGGGCTATGGGGAAGAGACGAGAACGGTGGGCCTGGACATCCAGCTCAGTGACTGAGGGGCCGAGGGCCCTTCCCAGACATGGCAAACCTGGAAGGTTCTGGAGCGCAGAGCCAGGAGTTCGTGACCCACTGCTGCAGAGGACAGGAGGCCTTGGCCCAGACATGGGGAACATGGAAGTTTCTGGAGCATAGAGTCAGGAGTTCGTGACCCACTGCTGCAGAGGACAGGAGGCCTCGGCACTAAGGTCATGAGCAGTTGGCCCCTCTTACCCCGGCCCGGCGTGGGCAGAGGGCCCGGCCCCAGCCGGCTGCATTGGGCCCTGCAGAGCGTGGAGGGCGAGCAGCACGAGAAGGCGGTGGAGCTGCTGAAGGCTGCCCAGGGCTCCGTGAAGCTGGTGGTGCGCTACACCCCGCGGGTGCTGGAGGAGATGGAGGCCCGGTTTGAGAAGATGCGCTCGGCCCGGCGGCGCCAGCAGCACCAGAGCTACTCGTGAGCCCCCTGCCGCCTGGCCCCGGACCTCCACTGCCCACCCTGAAGCCCAGACTCCCGAACCAGGCCAATGCTTCTTGGGACCTTGGCTGCCACCCCCAGTCCTGGTCCCTCTCCTCTGGGATCCTGACCCTTGACACCTGGCCCAGGGATCTCACCTCAGGCCACTCTGGCCAGATGCCTTGAGGACCTCCTAATTCCCTCCCCTCTAAGGGCTGGAACCTACTCTGTCTGGAACCCCTCAACTCACTTCCCTGGGCCCTTGTCTATGGAACCTCAGTACTTGTTCTCTCATGCCCCCCAGGGGCCCCTCCTCTGAGCCTAGCTTCCCTCTCTTCACCCCCCTTGCAGGTCCTTGGAGTCGCGAGGCTGAAACCACAGATCAAGACCCTCACCCTCTCCCCTGTACAGTATTTATTGTCATTGGCTTCTTATTTAAAGATCTTTGTCCCTCAACAAGAGTGTCCGTGTGTCTGTCCTGCATATTCCTGGGGTTAAAGTGTGGGGAGGGAGAGGGGCGTATATGGAGACCAAGCCCTGAGAGGCCCTTTCAAAGTCTGAGCGCAGGCTAGGCCCAGCAGTTGGCAAAATGGCTACATGGGAGTCCAGCAGTTGTCGCTGGACTCCCACGTAGTCAACCGCAGTTCGAGTTTCGGACTCGGTGGCTTAAACTCACGACGGGCGCGTGTGCGTGTGTGCCCAAGATCCCGAGAGGAGAATGGAGGAGAAGGGATTGCGACGTGTCCATCCCCTCCGCCCCACCCCCACCCCGGGGGTGATTTCTCGCTTTGTCTCTCTGTCTCTCTCTGTCTTTCTGGCGAGCGCACGTGCCCTATAGCAGAAACCTCTCCAAAAAAAGGTGAGGTACCCTCGCTCCAGGTCTGGAGGCGGCGGGCCAGCTTCCTAGGTCTGGTCTGCGGGTGGAGGCTGGGACACAGTCTGGGTCTGAGCCGCTGGGACGGACAGAGTCTCCGCTTTTAGGAGTCAGGGCGAAGGCCAAGGCCCCTTCCTCCAAAGCTGGTGTGAAGCTGGTGTGACCGAGGGGTCCTGAGACGTCGCAATAGCCAGCCGACGGCCACTGTGTGGGCGGAGCAGAGTGAACCATTATTCTCGCCCGCCGGGGGAGCCTCGCAGGCCTCACCATGGTCTACGTGGGAGTTGGGCCGGGGGTGCCGCGTGCAGTTCCCGAGGCGGGCGCAGGGGTGCAGAATAAGGTGCACTTGCCTGTGGGGCACTCAGCCCACCTTCCAACCACAGCACGTCTTTCCGGGAGCCGCCCCCGCCTTAAAATCCAACCTTTATCCCATCCTGCTGCCTACCCAGCCCTCGTGTCCCGTGCGGCGTGAGGGCCCGCGCGCGCCACCGCTGGGATCCGGGGTCGCGACTCGCGTTCCACGCCGCGCGCTACTCGCTCCAGGTGACATCATCTCCCTG